TTTAAAGAGTAAATAATAATGTTAATAGTCATTAATACAACATAAAAATATGAACTTTACTTAAACTCACCAAGTTGCTGCGTGTTCAGATTGGGTCTGGTGCTGTAAATCCACAATTATAAATGTTCGATAATTCCGTACAGGTTGTTGAGCTCTCCAATGATGTAAACCGCTGTTAGATGTGATATGTGCCAACTCACAGTCTATAAATGTGGATAATATTCGATTTAGAATGCAAATAGTTCAATCACGAGTGAGAGTAGAACAAGGAGTGTATGTGTAGCAGTGTATTTGCGAACAATCACAAGTATGTCACGCGAAGTGAGGTACACAACGGAAAAAGTGTTCAAGGTCATTTACTAAAAGAACAGGTACAATCATTTAATGATTAATATTCATACAGTGAAAGAACGACAAAATAAATACAAATAATATTAAAAACTATTTACAAAATAAGCTTGTCAATCCTATCTCCACAGGTTTGTAACTAATTTCTTGTCAAGTTCAATAGAGTTCGGCTATTTTAGAGGAGTCGTCATTTTGCAATCTTCGGTTTCACACGCATCTCATTTGGGTAGCCTGAACGTTTTGAGTAACGTAACACAGAGTTCGGAAGTGGATCTTCGAATGTCAGTTGGCTTTCATAGTTTACGAGGACAGACAAATTCATGTTATCAACACCTAATATTATGCAGTACATAAAATCAACTGTATTTTAACCATTTGTGATTACAATGATGAATTCTGCGAATATTATTCGGCTTTCAAAATTTTTGAAGAAAAGCACAATTCGTACACCTACTTATTAAAGACGTAACTGAATTCCGATGGTCTACTATTGATTTGATGCTAACAGTGCTTATAAACAAGTGCCAGTGATGATGACGACTGTTTTGTTGAATGGGTGCGATCGCCAGATTCACAACTGTCACGAATTGTACGAATTTATTCCATGAATTTTTTAGATGGATTGACAACTGTTGTTGGAAAATGATTTATGTGCTGAATATTATCAGAATCACTTCTCTAAAATATTCCAAGTTTTGAGGCGTCTTCCACTCCGCAGAGATCAGTATGGAACAGATCTTCAACGTTCTTGAGCCAAGAGATGAAATTAACACTCGCAAAACCATCAAAATTGAATTCGTGGATCGCATCGATAGCTGAACCTGTGTGTGATATTTGAAGTGCACCAGAAGCAGAATTTTGCTGGGTCAGGCACATTTTCTGCATAAGGGCTTCCATGATTGTGGTGTTCGACTTTTCGACCCGCTTTTCTTGACGTTCCAAATGAGCTTCTGGTTGCTTTAATGAGAAATTCATTGTGGTTTTCCCCGTCGCCACTGATTAGTCTTCTAATTGCACGCTACTTGTTATATGCGGTCGCTATTGATTGTTGTGACAGAATCGCTTGTCACTTATACTTGGAAAAGCGAGGAAGCACCTCTGTTTCTACCACTGGAAAGTGAGGTCACATTCAATACCTTTATTGTATAGGAAAAAATACGAATTCATAAATAATTCATTCAAACGTCTTCGAAATTTCGCTTTTGTTTCTGCTGATGAAATGAACCTAATTCTGGAAGATTCCTGTTCACTTACTGAATCTGAAGAATTTTTGTGTGGATCTCAGGCTTTAAAATCGCTTTAAAAATGGTCGACACAGGCAGAAATAAATCAACTCCTCCGGAACGATAGAAATAACCTAGTATCAAAGGTTTTTCTATAACGAACATTTGCAGCATAAGTACTCGAAATCCTTTCTCAGTGGTACGAGAAAGCATCTCACCGTATTAATGGTACGCTATAAGAGTTCTCGAAGACTACTAAACAGCATGAGCTCCACATGGATATCTTTCATATCCAGTCACTAAGCATCAATCTCCCAATCTTTTGTTTCTTCGGCAGTAGCGATAGTGAAATTTAGAAGGCGGTTTTCCTTATTTCTTTCAGAGTCCCTGTTTTGTTTTATACTGTAAAGCTTATAAACAGTAACTTCTGGTAACGTTTCTCGGAGTAGCTTGCATATTCAAATCTAGACTTTGGTTTGTTCTCGGAAAACACTCTGAAGTTACGAAAAATACAACCACTGCCGAGGAAGCCCTTCTAACTGTAGTCGCGCTGCGGAAGATTCGTTTAAGAAACTGAGAAAACAAAAAGCGAACCGAGTTGGTGGAAACGAAGTGTCCATCTAGGGGAGTTAGAAAACTCTGATTCCAAATCATTGGTACACATCATCATTACTATCCTGGAGGCACAAATGGGGCATGAAAAAACTTATGGTCATCGGCTACCATGGTACTGCATCTCCTTACGTTGCTCCATTGCATCATGGATAAGATATTTAGGTCAAAGGTTTCAGGTGTGGTACTCTAATAAATCCACCTACTTCGGTTTGAGCACCCGTGCAATATCACAGCCGCCACAAAAATCGAATGATTTATGTGGTGCATATCTAGTTGTGCCTCCTTTAACCAATGTTCATGTGTTTAGATAAATTTGCAAATGTGAAAATTTACTGACCTCTCAGTGAAATCTGTCATGACAAATTATGAAGTTTGTTTTTCTCAATTCCTCTCATCCCTGAAGTCCGAGTCGCCGTCAGACATACAGGTCTCACTCTGTTTCCTTAGCTCCATAAAATTTTATTGTATGCCAACCATTAACCTTATTTCTTTATTTTGATGAATTCATCTGCACAACTGAGGCATTACTCTTTCCCAGTCCGTCATGCGTTGATATGAGAATCCAGATTTGAAACCGTTCACCCATATATTTCAGAGGTTCCTGTATTTGTTCCATCTTAGAGCGTTTTTTCATTTTTCTCACAACGTGCCTACGTCTGTGTATCTATTACACATTACTTTATGCGTGTCCACACTTATGGTTTCATTCACACCCAAAGCTGGACTCATGATGACGCTCCATGCATCCTTGAGGTCTGACAGCTGTTCTTTTGTTGCTGGCTGATTATATAAGAGAAAAATCACAGCTACGTTTGGCAGTTCAAATGGCTGAAGAAATAGCAAAGGCTTTGTGGAACGGCTTGATTTGCACGGCCAAAGTAGCGGTGGTCTGCAACACCTCTTATACAAACAAAAATAGCCAACGAAAAATATCACATCACATTTTGGGTAGTTGACATAGGATTTTATGCCCATCGGCAGTCAACTTCAAGTCTGATTATTATGCTATAAAAAAATCCTAAAATGGATTGTTTTACAGCATCGACGTGTGTAAGTCAACCTCTCAGTGACCTTGGAAGAACATTTTTGTAGGAACCAGTTCGGTTCATTTGATACCGCTGACGATTGGTGAGTGTTCTGTCCGTAAACTGTATTGTAGAAAATGGCGTTTATCTATATGAGACATTCACAGAAGTCTGATGACTAGATTCTCTACACACGTTGACATTTTATCGCAGAGTATGGAATAAGTCTTGCTTTGATAAATATGGAACGTTGGCTGAATAGCTACAATATTGCGAAATATTACGCAACATAAAATGTGCTTACAGTTGTGCCTCTGTGTAAATGAGTCTCACCTTAGGTATTGGTAACATTTGCATCACTTCTGTAAGGAACATCAAGCAGAGGATTCGGTCTATGGTGATTGATGCATCTGGTCATATATAGACAAAACCTATTTTGAGATAATATGTCGAGACTGACTGGTGTATCAAACATGATCGTTTCGAAATCGTTTCTCAGATATATCTGAACTTGCGTCCTTATATTTAAATAGGCACTACAGAACGACAAATCCACCACCAAGTACTTCATTCCAAATGAATCATCTTTATGAAAATACGGCTAATTGTATCCACGTTTAGTGCTCAAGAATAAGTAAATTCAATTAGTTCATATATGTCATGCTGATTACCCCCTGTTTACTTGGTTTACTCGTCTATTACCTTTCATGATATTTTTTATTTTACAGTCTTCAGTCTTCAGTAATAAGGATAGGAGGTCTATCGACCTATATTAATCTTTGCAGTTTGTAATACTGTGGAGGTCCAATCTCATTTTGAATATATTAGCAGACGGTGCTGATATTACGTGTTCCGGTAGAGAATTTCAGTAATTCACTACTCGGTGCGAGAAACGGAACTCCAGACGTAAACGGTTTGATCTCGGTTTTTGAACTTTCTTCGAATGTCCTCTCAAATGATCGGTTTTAGACGGAAGCAAAAGATAAGACATGGTAATACCAAGGTCATCGTTCAGTATACGATAAGCCAATATTAGATCACCCCGTACTCTACGGTAAGATAACGGAAATAAGTTAAGGTGTCTCAGTCTGTCTTCATAAGATAGACCAGATACACCTTGTACCATCTTAGTACCTTGTCTTTGGACTCTTTCCAGAATATCCGCTTCATACTTGAAACAAGGACACGCTGCTTGAATCCCGTATTCTAAATGTGGTCGCACATAAATCGGGTATAGTAATCTAAACATTTCATCGTCTAAGTACTGGAAAGACCTACGAATTGACCATAATACCCAATAGCCTTTTGCAGCAGCAGCCTTACAGTGACTAGTGGTTTTGAGATCATTGCTTAATATGACTCCTAAATCTTTATAGTTTCTTGCTTTGGGTAGCACGAATCCACGTAGTGTATAGTCATACGATTAATCTGAGTTATTTAACTGCATCACTACACTCTTATTAGGATTTACTTCTAGTGACCACCTGTCTAACCATGCCACCAATGAGCTAAGATCGTCCTGTAATACTATTCTATCCGACATACTATGTATGGGTCTCCAAATCTTTATGTCATCAGCGAAGAGTAGAACGGATGATTTTGCTACAGTTGGCAATTTATTTACATAAAGCAAAAAGAGAAGAGGACCTAGGATTGTGCCTTGGGGAATCCCACTTTTTACAGGTACCCACGAGGAGAGAGCCCCATTAACCCTTACCATTTGTCTTCTGTCATGGAGAAAGTTACTTATCCAATCGACGACTGTGTAATGGATTCCAAAACGTTTCAGTTTGAACTTATGACCAGATTGGGAAACCTTATCAAAGGCTTTACTTAGATCTATGAAAATCACATCCATAGGAGCATTCCGATCCTTTGCCGCAGCCCACTCTTCTCGTGCAATGAGAAGATTTGTCAAGGTTCACTTTTAGTCCGCCTTGAAATGCACTAACTAAAATGTGTCCACGATTATAATTTTCTATATTGTGTAATGAACGTTTATCAAATTTGAATGACTGTATTGATTGCATTCGCACTTGGATTGCTGTTCCATGTTAGTTTGTCATCTTGTTCAACTGACACTAGATTGTCAGTTTCACACATTGTAGATTAGTTGTTCATACGAAAGCATCTGAAATGTCGAGCGAACAGCAATATAAATTATGCTTTCTTTACTAGATTGTATCATGTGAGAGGAGTATCGTTAAGATGAAGTGTTAACATTTATTTCCGTTAATTATGTTACTGAATAGATGTTATGTTTTTGCCGTTGTGTACACATAGACTGATTCAATTGAGGTCAACGTGTTATCCAATCGAGTAAATTTACTTAATACTTCGGATTGCCAAACCCTCCTTCATAGCCATATCGAGTGCATTGCTTATTCACGTTAGTGAAAACAAATTAGATGCGTAATTTATCAATCCAGTACAGTACTTTGTGAGAATCTTGGTCACTTATTTATTAATGTGTAGTGTCTGTTATTTTGTTTAGCCCATATACCTTATTCTAGCTTTTGGACAGGCCAATCGATCCATTCTACGTGAGTCACATTTTGACCTTGCTAATTACTTGCTTATCAACCATGACTGTTTTTACATGAGCGTATGTGTGTGAAGACTTCTTATCCTATTGATCACATGTCTGTAACTTATTTTTGTGCGAATATAAATATCGATTAAAGCATGACGAAATGAGTTGGCTCACGAGCCCTCTACACTGCGAGTCATTTGCTTCGCTATGTTCCCTCCACTTCTTCGGTATTTTGTCTGGATCAAAGGTTGTATGAAATATACGTATTCGAAATTCATTCTCCTATTCGACTTATTTAATTCCGTTACTGACTAACGCAATTTCAGTCAATGATGATATATGAGGATAGGTGACAAATATATTTCGATAGCAATCATTCAATAACAAACATTCATACGATCTACTTAGAGTCATATCCTGTGCCACCAAAAGTTATCAACGATTACAAATAGCACAGCATAGTCTAATTGGTAGCTTAAATCCACAAATCAGTCTGAATTATCTAGAATTATTTTCCCTTTTATCTGTGTTTGGCTATAACACAACAGCTCGGAAGCGATTATCAGATCACAAATTACTAGTAGCTACACGGGAGGGTTTCGTTCTTGTTATGAACATTGAGCTGAAAATAAGTGTATCATGTCAACGATATTCACACTGAAATCAAAGTCAAGTAACGACCACTCTATAATCAGCTTGTCATCCACTGAATCACGAGATCCACGAGCTTATTGAATGAGCATAATATTTATCAGTATTTTCAAGGTTTTCGTATTTTCTTATTGGTTGTTTACTATCGACGTACAGGCCCATTGAGCAGATGCCTTGATATTGTTCTCAGCTACAGTTTGATCAACTTTCGGAAGGTGGCTGGTAGTGAAACCCAGTAGATGTGGATTTTTGTGGTAATTAACACCGTGTTCCAATTTCAGCGTGAATATTAACATCCCAATGTATATTTATGCAGTAGAGCAGAACACTTGCCAGGAATTTTAATATAAGTCACTATTAATAATTCGATAAATTAATATTAATCAATTTATTCATTAAATGCGTTCTATATTTGAATGCATTACATTCCTTTATTCTAACTCAAAGTAAGAAATACAATAAACGTTTTGGTTGTAAACAACCAACAATACAATGAACATTCATTATTAACCTTAGAAAATTACTGATGTATGTACGATCAATTTGTTTCAGCTGAGCATTTAAAAAATGACCGACCTTACCAATTTAAAGTCAGTAACCGAATATGGTTGTACCAAAAGCGCAGACAAACTTCATCAGTATATATGTGATCATTCACTGCGTCTGTCTGAAGCACAAAAGTGGTTATTACAAGTAATCATCATGACTATTGTCCTCCTTAAGTGTATTGTAGGAGACCAGTAAACATCCACTGTCATTTATGCTTATCTCCAGCATAGAAATGCAACTTCTATCGAATTTGTGTTATGCGATAAATGCTAGAAGGACACTTGCTATTGGTAAGTACGAGGTAAATGAGGATCTGATTGCAAGTATATATATCCATTCTATGTAGTCCATTGCTTCTCAAACAAGTTCTAAATTTTGATGAAGTAAGCAGAATACACAAGTATTGCTAGCTCGTCTTTAAATAATGATCTTAATAAACTGTATAGCTATGTATAATTGGCGACAAAATAGACAGAATGTGGCTACCATGCCCACTTTTGTTTCATGGTTTACAGTAACTTTGAATGAGTCAGCGTTAAAATCATCCTTCTGTTATTTGAAGAACATTGTTCATTATCTCTACCATTTGAAGACGATTAGGGAGATTGGATGCTCTATTCCATCATTCGTCTTTCTCCAGTGAGTATTACATTTCAGAGTGGTTGTGGTACTCGTGTATGTAAAAATTATGTATGGAGAGACAGATATGCAAAGAAGGGGAGTTTGAAGAGAAGAGACATAGAGTCACCCATTACTGACTTGTTATCAGTGTCTATTCGGATAGAGTTGAATGACTGAGCGAATTATCTTGAAACGACTATGTTGATACCATATATCAACAACACATTCGTAGTTGACTTGTATATTGGTCTGGAAGTGAAGACTGGAACACTGATTTCCTTGCATTTGAGACTCATCAGCTGGATGCATTTGCATGGTGTAATTAGTATTCGCATGGAAATTCGAAGCTATTGCCTTTCATTTCGAGCACCAACACATGATCTACTGATGTATTGAGTTCAAATAGTCAGTTGATTGTTCAACGTTATATCTGGAATTTCTGACGTTCACTACTTTTTGGGTTGCTTTGTTCAGTAATAATTGGTTTCGGATATATTTGTTAAGCTGACGACTGGTTTGTCAAGCTACAGTGTGATCTAAACCAGTCTGGAAGATGTTGCTGTGGTAATTCTACTGTTTTTTTTATCAACCACTGTACATCAGTTAGACGACCAGTCATTATCAACAGATATGTTTCCATTTATTTTAAAATGAATTTAGGAACTTATACTGGATATAGTGCATTGTCTATCGCGGAAGTATTGCCATCAGGTGGACGTTTAGTAGCCGTGGATAAAACGGATGAATATTTGAAAGACTATTGTTTGCCAGCATGGAAGAAGGCAGGTGTAGAATCGATCATTGACTTCCGACACGGTCCATATGTTCAAATACTACGTAAGTCTAACGATGTGATAAGCTTTAATGTTGTCAAGAAAAACAAAACGCGAATACACACTCACTGCTCAATCATGTAAAATCCATGGAGATAAGTATATTGTCATCAGGTTACTGATGTGTACTCTGGTGTCAGCAATACTATCTGATTGATTTGGGAGAAAGATAATATATGGGGAATTCATGCTACATTTCTGTTTAAGATAGTTGAAAATAACGAAATGTTGGTTGATGTTGACGGAATCTACAAGTAAGCTTGAGACTAAGAAGTATTAGTGTAACTTGTGTGACGAAATGTATGTTAGGAAGACGGATTGTATCTGTTGCGTGTAAGTGGATCGGGAGTGCGAGAAGGAGTTTAATTTTGATTGAGATCATGAATCGATGGATGTTAGATCACCACTGGGAACATGGAAGCCACTAGACGTTGGTCTCGTTGTACTATAGGACGACTCAGCGTTGAGAATTCATGACCCCACACGCGGGATTTTAACTCAGGACCTATTGTCTCTTGCACGAACTCTTAATCCCTAGACCACTGGGCGGGTATCCAAGAGTGTTAATGTCTAAATTCAACCTACCAACGAAATCGCGCTACCACTTTCCATCTTACTGAGGTAGATACTTGTCTGTACCTGACATGGATCAGTCACACTGATCAAGGCCTCTCATTAGAAAACTGAGAATTTCCTTAGGAGATCATGAGTTGATGGATGTTGGACTACCTATAATCACTGGACGACCATTTCGTCTGAGTATGAGAATCCACAGCAGTGCGCACCCACGTTTCCGCACGCAGGACCCGAACTCAGTACCTTCAATCTCGTGCACGAACACTTAACTTATAGACCACTGAGCCGGCATTCAACAGTGTTAAGGTCTAAGTTCAACCAATTCACGAAATTGAACAACATCTTCTATTGTATTGAGGTTGATGCCTGTCTCTATATGATATGGATTAGCTCTCTATTGAGTGTAATGCTACCACTGATTTTTGTGTGAGCATTTGTATATGACCTGAGGATTTCTGAATGTCCCTTAAGCGCAGTTTGTTCTCCTTCACCCTCACATCCAGTTGTCGTGGTATTTTATCTACATATGTAGCATTACATCACCAAATATAAATGTATCTCGACAAGTTAGATGTGTGCTCGGAGGTTGGTTTGAATACTGCAATGTTGTGAGTAGGTGAGTGGTACATGTACAATGTCTGATATAGGTGTTCTTCTAGTCAATAAAAACGATTTTACTGATGACGTTGAACGAATACATTTATTCGGTTAGTATTCGATAACAGTTGGGTGTATGTAAGTACATTCAGTTTGATAACAGTTTTGTCGTAAACTATTTATTGACTTGGTAACGGAACTTTATATATTTTGATTGAACTGTTGTGCCAACAGAAAATTTGATTGACAATGGAGAGAGTGAAACATTCGATTTTGCTCTGATCGATGGTGAAAAAGAAAACTATAGTAAATATTACGAATTATGTTTAAAACTAGTTCGACCTCGTGGAATCATCGCCATTGATAATGTAAGTTTGTTTTATTTACGAGCATATGTTCTATGTATCTCAATACATTTGAAGTCAACTTTCATGACGAATTGATCTTTTAATGACTATTAATGAACCTTCTGTATGGAAATATCTCGCCCTTAAAACTGCTTCTACATTTCATAAATTCTCGAGGGAATATTCCACATATTCGGTGAAGTGTAAAGTATAATGTTAATAATAATAAATGACTGTAGTTGTACACCTTCTGCTGAATGATAGCCTTATATTTCCAACTAAATGGCTTAAAATAAGATTATCCCATATATGTATGAATAATTTATCTTGGATCAACTAATTGGAAGTTATTGCGTAGAGGGAATTATAAGTTGGTCTGTTCTAATAATCCTAAGCAAACATTACTGAGTGGTGCCTTTAAATGAGCTTTGTTAGTTGAATGATAGCGGTTTTACTGTTGATAATAATCTGACGAAGAATATTGATTATCTTATAGATTGTAACCACAGTCTGAAGTCAGACTGCGAAGTAACTACAAACATGCTTTACCTTCTATTCAAAAAGATTTGGGAGGAGGAACAAGTGCCGATGGACTGGAAAGAAGGACACCTCGTCAAGTTTCCAAAGAAAGGAGATCTGAGCAAATGTGAAAAGTACAGAGGCTTTACACTACTGTCAATACCAGGGAAGGTCTTCAACAGAGTGTTGCTGAACCGGACGAAAGATACAGTAGACGCCCAACTTCGAGATCAACAAGCTGGATTCCGTAAGGATCGATCGTGCACAGACGAAATTGCGACACTACGGATCATCGTCGAGCAATCAATTTAGTGGAACTGGTCACTGTACATCAACTTCATTGATTATGAAAAGGCATTTGACAGTGTGGATAGGAGGACGTTATGGAAACTTCTTCGACACTACGGAGTGTCTGAGAAGATTGTCAATATTATCCGGAACTTATACGACGGACTACAGTGCAAGGTCGTGCATGGAGGACAGCTGACAGATGCAATCCAAGTAAGGACCAGAGTCAGACAAGGCTGTCCACTCTCTCCCTTCCTTTTTCTTCTGGTGGTCGACTGGATTATAGGACCTCAACATCTGAAGGAAAACACGAAAGACAATGGACAGCTCAGAATCAATTAGACGATTTGGACTTCGCAGATGACCTAGCCCTCCTATCACGTACACACGAACAGATGCAGATGAAGACAGCCAGTGTAGCAGCAGAACAGCAATCCAATCACTCTTGATGGCGAAACTCTGGAAGATGTAGAATCCTTCACATACCTGGGAAGCATCATCGATGAACAAGGTGGCTCAGATGCAGACGTAAAGGCAAGGATTGGCAAAGCAAGGGTTGCATTCCTACTATCGAAGAACATATGGAACTCAAAACACCTTTCAACCAATATCAAAGTGAGAATCTTCAATACGAACGTTAAAGCAGTTCTACTGTATGAAGCTGAAACTTGGAGAACTACGACAACCACCATCAAGAAGGTACAAGTATTTATAAATAGCTGTCTTCGCAAGATACTCAACATCCATTGGCCGGATACCATCAGCAACAGCCTTCTCTGGGAGAGAACAAACCAGCTTCCATCTGAAGAAGAAATTAGGAAAAGACGATGGAAATGGATAGGACATACATTACGCAAATCATCAAACTGCATCACGAGGCAAGTCCTAACTTGGAATCCTGAAGGAAGGCAGAAAAAAGGAAGGCCTAAGAACACATTACGTCGGATAATAGAAGCAGATATGAAAAGGATGAATAGGAACTGGAAGGAGCTGGAAAGGATTGCCCAGGACAGGGTTGGATGGAGAATGCTGGTGAGCAGCCTATACTCCTTCACGAGGAGTGACAGGCGAAAGTAAGTAAGTAGTCTAACAACAGTGTCTTCACCATTCTACTGGACTCAGATGCACAATGCTTATCCGTAGCTCTTCCCAATCTCTTAGTTCATATGTTGAAAATCAGCTTTCTGAGAGATTTTGACTTCATATTTAAAACCACATACTGCATTCAAAACTCTTCAGAGCTTGAGAATCAAGTTTTAGATTTCATGTTTATGGTTGTCTATCCCAAAAACCTACATCTCTGGTTTGATAGGACTTGGGAGAACAAGGGCTATGTACATTGGTTTGACATATTGGATGAATCTGATTACCAAATCAATGAACCTTCTATTGTTCGATGAAGGTTATTCTTAATTTGACTGAAAATAGACTTTTTGGTGTATGAATACGATACATGCTTACAGTGCCACCAAATCACACATAATGATTGTCTTTTATACCCTTTTTATTACCATCTCTTTCCCAGGTTCTATGGAGGCAGCGTGTGCTCGATGCGGATAATAACAGCTCTGAAACTGTCGGTATAAGAGAAATGAATGCATTGATAGCTAGAGATAACCCTGTTCGAATTTCTCTCTTAAGAACTGGAGATGGATTGACAATTGTTGTGAAGAATTGATTCATGTTATGACTGTTTTCAGAATGGTTACATCCATACAGACACACATATATTTGATTGATAAACCCAATTGCTTTGATTGCTATCACACATAAATAAATATTCCCCATTACTATATTGTCATTTTCTATCATCACTGCATATGTATATTGTTGTAATAAAACATTTCTCTGAAGGGTTTCTGTATATTACATACCGTTTCAATCATTTTGTAATTGGCACTAAACATGTCTGGATCTCTCAAATGTGAGGAAATTTGTAGGATTGTGAGATTCTCCTTATAATCTGTGGAAACATGAAAGGTTGTACGGAAAAACCACAGGTTAGTGAAGATTTAGGGCGTTCAGTCGACAGATGTGATGTCAGTATGAATATCAGAAAGATTCCGATTGACGATAGTCTGACGATAGTTGATGATATACACAAACCACATGAGAAATACTGAGTTTTCGTTTATCTTCAGTAGACTATATGTTTTATTATTTGTTTCAGTTAGAGCATATGATCGTAATGTTTTCCTTGTCGCAGATCAAATTATTTGGAATTGCCACTAAACCAAAACATGGAACTTATCGGAAGTAAGAGCACAATAATGTGGCAGATCTCCTTCAGAAGGAATCGAACATATTGATTATTAACTATATCGCACAAGATCTGATAGTTGATTTGTTATGGAAATCCGGCATAGTCGTACACACGTATACATCGAATGAAGTGGTAATTTCAGGTTACCGATGGCTTTGTACTAGAAAAGTGTCATCTTTGGTTGAAGATTGCATAATGTAATGGATACTTCATTGATTCATATCAATGGTCGTTCACTTTGATCACTAGTTGTATCATCCTGTTGTTATGTAGGCTAATAATTGCAAAGTAATGAAATTTATTTTATCATCAGTCGGCAGAATACATTCATTATTTCAATTCGGTTTGAAATGGACTGGATTATGCTGTAGATGATATTTTATCAGGAGTGTGGTCAGTCCAGGAGACCACTGCTAATCACATTCCATCGATTTATTATTTTGAGGATACCTAAACTCATAACCAACCAAACACACTTATTTTCAAAATGTCAAAGATATGTGTGGATGATTCTCTTGAAAGACGATTGTTTCTGCTCATTTTCAATCCGTAATCCAATCGGTAGGTAGTCAAGTATTGTAATGGACTGAAGATCAACATGTAACTCGATTGGCACATTTTGTACACGTGAAAATACGTTTTGCTATAATTAATTACGACCTACGAATTCACCATATCTCAATTTCGACGAAATCCTCTGACAACCGTTAAACAACATTTAGATTCGAAAATGCTTAATTAACTGTGATTGTGATTGTGGTGTTGGCTATCACCATATGTCTTCAATTGTATACATTCTTCTCTAACCCTATTCACAGTTTGTTGTTTGTGCTTGCTTGAAGGAGGCTAATTGAATAATGTCAACTGAAGTCAATTAGAAAGAAGCACAAATAATCTCAATATGTATGCAGTTGTGAAACAAGATATGTCCATAAATATATTTGTTGGGACGGATTTCGAATAAGCACTACGACAACACCAGAGGCCGTCAAGGAGCCGAAGCGTTTCCATCCACTCAGAACGTGGGGTTCTATACGTTCGAGTAACGTTTGATGTACATCGTATTCTGGGTTAATCAAATAGAGCATTTAAGAATGTTATATGAATAATTGGGGTCAACTACAAGGTCAATGTGTGGAGCACGCACTGAATAAGTCGCACCTCATCACGTTGTATTATCAGTGAAAATGTAGAAATTCGATTGAATCACGTATCTCGTAAATAAAATCTATGTTAATCTTATGCAATAAGTAGCTCATTTCGATTATAAATATAAGATAACACTGAAATATCTAATGTTGTTGACATGAATGTTCGATTTGAAACCTTCTAAACTTCATAGTGCTTACCGTAGGTCATAAACCACTGAGCATGGATTTAATGTGACATAATGATTTATTGACTAATGGTTGTTGGTTTCACAGTTTCCAGTTAGTGGATAGTTCTATGTTCTATGTGCACAATCTGTGTGAAGTGAGATGATCACAAAGATGAGTGTACAAATTCTGTGGTACTTTTACTCAGCATATGTTATAGACTAGAATGGTTTCCAAATTAGGCGATCATGATAGATTGAATATTACTCACTTGTTGCTACTAATGAATCCTGATGTTTATGAGAATAGACTAATCGAAGTTATCAATCCGTAATATTATGCAGTACACAAAATCAACTCTTTTTTGGTCATCTGTGATCTAGAAGAATGATAGTTCGTAAATGATTCTTCGAATATTACTTGACTTTCAGAATTTATGAAGGAGAAGCACAACTCATACACCTGAATATTGAAGACGTAACTGAATTCTGGTGTTTGCCTATTGATTTGATGCAGACAATGCTTATGAAGAAATTCCGGTGATGATGGAAACTGATTAGTTTGATGTGTGCGATCGCCAGATTCACAACTGTCACTTCAGTCTCTATATCTTTCGTTTATCTGGTTGACCATAAACATGAACTTAATTGTCATCACTGAGAAATTGAAAGGACAGATTTTCAAACTGATATTTGAAGTGATCAAGCGACAAATGACAGTTACTACTCAGCACAAACAAGAGAAACAAGCGAACAATTAAGGTTGACCGGACAGATTGACAGTTCTATTGAAATAACCATGGACAACATGGAAGCAGTGGATGGCCGATTCAATCTCGTATGAATTTGTTAATCAGTATGAATCCATGACCCAGATAACGAGGATGGAACCCAGGACCTTTACTCGCATTCACCGACGCCTAACTCCTAGATCAATGAAACAGGATCCACTGAGTTTTGTTGGTTTTACATGTTAGATCTTTATCAGCGAATAAACTATGCTATGGAAACTGTGCAATGAAATACAATAAAAATGAAATCACAAACTGACCTACGTTTGATAACTATTGAAAATCTGGATACATCAAACAGCCGTTTCGTTTCAGCACGAGACGCATCCACAGTCCCACCATCTGGGACAAACCAAAGCCCCAATATTGAGGAATTAAGTCGTTCTCAACATGAAACTTTTAACGAAAATAAGTATGGTATCAAAGCGCATGTGAATTCATTCGAGTTATTTTACCCCATAAGACCCCAGATACGAAGGAATGAAAGATATTAACAGTCGGCAAAATAATGTACGAAAATGTAGATATACTGTCATATGTTGAGAGAGAAATCAATGGCTGAATGCATTTTCTCGCCTATCGTGGTAGAATTATTGATTAAGTCAGCTCTCAAGGTACGAAATGTTTTCGGGTGATTGAATTCGATTTCGATCAGCTCGTCTCAAAGTTTTGTGTTGAAACTCACCGGACCCTTGTGTTTGTAAAAATGGTCACTGACAGGGAGAAATATATCTACTGCTAAACTAGACTGGTATATTTTCTACGGGATTCAACAGTGAAGTAATCCCTCATTTAGTGTCTTCGAATGAAGTTCAAATGTAGGAAAGCATACTCAGTGATCATGATAAAATGGAATGGCACACTAAGTGAGAAATACTGTGTGTCTTAGCTAATTGATGACTAATAGAAATAGACAGAAATTTTTATTGGTTTCGACCCTCATCATCCTCTTAAATAGTCGATTATTGGAGTACTTTTAGTGGTATCAATTTACTCACATATATCTATATTTAAACACATGTGCAATAATCAGAGTTGAGAAAATTCCAGTTTGAGGGCGATTTCGTATTGTACAGTATGCGCAGTTACGTAGTGTCGGGTCGATAATCCTCAACAATTAGAAAGTCATGTTTGCTAATGTTCACTGTTCGACTTGAACGTAAATATCTTGTATATTATTAAATTGTTGCAACTTCGGTAAAGTCAACAACAGTTTCCAAGGAACCTAATAGATTAATTTGCATAACACAATACATTCACGTATAAAAACGCAAAACAACCGACTGTGTTCAATGAGAACAATCAGTCTGGGAATTACTTTGTCTTCAAAATAACAGAGAAATCGTGCCACATGCCAATCATGAAAGCTAAGCACATCAAAAGACCAAGATAAATTTAGACAACGTTTCGTGTCATGTGTAGCAAGATCTACCATAATTTAGTATCGAGGTTAAATATATAACCCTTGAAACATTGATGGAAATATTACGTATAGGATGATACTAAAGATCATCGAATAGTGAAACATATTTGAGATGCATTAGCATAAAAGGATACCATAACACATGATGAATCCCAGTTTTCTCAAAATGGATTTCCACATGGAGTAACTTGAAAATCTGAACACGTAAGAGTTGGGCTAGTACATCGCTAACACGTAAATGAAAAATTAGGCGAGACTAGAAATTATTGATAAATCACTCAGATATAAGATAAAGGTTGTCGGATTTTGGTGCGAATTCCATTCATCCATTTGACTAAATAGAATTGATGATGTTCGTGATGAAAAACCCTAAATCTAATCACTAACGTTAACCATCAACTGCAAATCATAATTCTAATTGTTCACATTGGTTTTGTAATACAACGGAATGAGAAATCAAAATTACATTCATTGACTCATTGTAATGTTCGTTCAACATTAATGCAGTTTCAATTCAATGTGGTGATTATTCAATGTAGTATTTGATTCTGTTTTCACGTGTGACATTTTATTCTGTATAACATAGGACATTCTTGTATGAAACATTGACCTGAACTATGCTAAACATGACATATAGCATGTGATTTGTAACAACCCTAAGCATCTTTCATATACGTGATTTCATCATGTTTATTGTTAATCAAAATCTGTGTACGAATCATTAATATATAAATCAGTGTATTTTCGACTAGGATCGTCGTCGTGTTTTTGGGCTAATAAATCTTCATTTGTAGCAGACTTTGTGTTCTCACTTTCACGTCGTGGAAATCGAGGTGCTTCCTCGCTTTTCCAAGTATAAGTGACAAGTGATTCCGACATAGCAACC